TTTCCTCACTTCAGAGCCTTCCGACATGCTGTTCCCTCTGTCTGAATGCCCTTCCACCCTATGGGCAAATTCTTCCAGGAGGCTGTCCCCAAGCCCCTCCATGGCTGGCCCCACCTACTCCCCTCCTCCCAGGGCTGCCCTCTGTGCCAGCTCCCTTTGCCCAGCCTCACAGGACTGCACCCCACAAACACAGGTCCTCCTGGGCAGGCGCCAGGTCCCATCTCTGCTGAGGGATGCTGGGACCTAAATCTGCAGACCCCAGGCAGCTGACGGCCCAGGGGCCACCTGCTGGGATGAGCTCAGGCCTCCTGACCCCAGCACAACCCACTCAGGCCTGCCTGGCTCAGCAGCTTACCACGCGGGGACCTGTCTGGAGGCTGCCAGATGCCCCCGGCCCCAACTTCGCTTCTCAACGGCATCCACTGGGCTCAGGCTCTGTCCAGGGTGGTGGGGCGTGGGGGGACACCTGCCAGGATCCCACGGGAAACCATGCACGGGTGGTATGCTGCCGGGGCCAGAGGCTTGCAGCCCCGTTTTGTCAGCAGGGGACTCCTGTGTCTGTGGAGGGCCAGGCCCGGGACACGTGCTGGAGTTTCGCAACTGCGTGCGGCAGCGGCAGAGTGGACAGCCCCAGAGAGAGCAGGGCAAGCAGGCCTCTCCCCTCCGGACTTCTCTTGTGACCTCTGCCTGGGGACGGCTCTACGATGGCCTTATGAAGTCGTCCCTCCCAGAGCCCAGGGTTCTCACCTAAGGAGTTCATAGCCCCCGCCAGCCCGGCCCGGGCTGTGGACTTACTAGCTTGCAGGTGGAGCAGCATGTTTGTCAAAAGCTCCACAGGCCAGGGCTTCCTGCCCCGGCTCAAGTAGCTGCTGTGGAGCAGAAGGACCCGCAGCTGGGGCAGGAGCTGGGCAGCGCTGGCCCACCCTGAGCTGTGGGGCCACTTGATTTGGCAGTCTGTTCTATGGCTTACTCCCCACACCTGACCTCACTGTTAAAGCGAGAATAGAGACCACTCTCTGCCTTGCCTGTCGCTCAGAACCGAAAGACAAAGGCTCACACTGAGCTCAGACGGTGTGGTCAGGGCCTCGGGCTCTGGCCCGCCCGGGTCTACAGCCCAGCTCTGCCCCACCCCAGGCACATTTGTAAACTCAGTTTTCCCATCTATAAAAACTGGGAGCACGGACAATGCTGGGCTCGGTACATCTCTCCTCTCTTCACTAACTGCCAACAGGTACTTCCTGATTCCAATGGTCTGTGTGGCCTGAGGCCCTGCCCGAGTGGTCTGTGACTCAGAGAGGAGACAGAGAAGCACGCAGAAGGCACGTGGATGCAGAGAGCGGATGGAGGGACGATTCTCAGGGAGGGGCCTTGCCCAGGCATGGGGGGCTGGCTCGGAGGCCACACTCCCTCCCACACCCAGCAAAGGGGGAAGGCATCCTCTCCTTTGCTCTTCAGGGAACAGTTCACAAAACAAAGCCTGATGCTGGGTGATTTGGCACAGTGCTGGCTCTTTTCCTCCATTTAGTGGAAAAAGAGTGAGATAATTAAAGTCGTTGCAAACCAAAGTTACTCATCCTCCGGGTGTTCAGGTGCGGACTCAGCTGACAGGCGCCTGCTCTCACCGTGCAACACCACATCCCAGCACCTTGCAAACCCACGCCAGGAAAAGGTGGCCCATTCCTCACATTCATAAATGTTCTCTTAAATTCCAGAAGGTCCCCTTAACAGGGAAAAGGGCAGCCCTGCCACAGCTCACATCTAGGCAGCCTGCTTCACCTCTCCTAGCCTCGCTTTACCCATCTGCATGTCAGGATCACAATGCTGGCTTCTTGTGTCCCCAGTTCTCCTCTTTCCTTTGGGGAAAGCCTCCTGCCCCATCCCTGTGGACTGTCAATCATAGTGCTGTACCCAGCCCCTGGCCTGGCCAACTGTGGCATTTGATATTAATGTCCATGCTGATTGGCTCAAAAAGTGAGCACGTGACCCAAACAAAGCCAATCAGATCCTTCCATGAGAGTTTTATGTAGACTTGAGGGAGGGGTTGGGGGCTGTGAGGATAATGGACAGTGGACCTCTCTGGGGCCATCATCCCAGCACAGAGGGAGATGCCGCCCGTAGTGAGTGAGGATAGGCCAGTGTGTAAGGAGAAGCAGGGAGGATCAAAAATGGGAAAGGATGGAGAGAAGGAGATGGCCCTAGAGAGACAGTGTGAGTCCTTGGCAGAGCCTTGCCTGGGACTTCTCGGCACAAGCTCAGGCTTGTCTCCCTTCTGCAACTAAAGATGCTCAGCTGGCACAAATCCCTTCTACCCAGGAGGATAGGTCGAGGAGAGCTTCAGGGAGGAGGGGCCATTGGAGCTGGTGTTGGAGGGTCACGTGGGTACCCAGGGAGGGGCAAGAGCACTGGCGCACCTACTGCCAGTGTGGACTGAGACCTTGCCAAGGGCTTCTCACACAGTGCTCTTCTGTCAAAACAGCCAGGAATGTCACCGTTGATTAGAATGATTTTCCAGGTGAGTAGACAGCGAGGCCCAGAGACTTACTGGAGCACACAGTGGGGAGGTGGTAGAATGTGGGTCAGAAATTGAGAGAGCCTGGCACAGAGCTGCTGCCCTTCCCTCCCACCAGGCTGCCGCATTCACCTTGCTGAAGTCCGGTAAGGGCCACGCCCAGGGATTTCAGACATGCTGCTGGGACCATCTATAAGTGGGAACACTGTCAAGGGGGACATTTATATGAGAGGCAACTGGGAGCCAGTCAGGATTCAGAAGGGGTGCTTTGTCTGCAAGGATGTGGGGTCCTGGGGGCAACATTTGCTTCTGCCCTTAGCCTCTGAGCTTCTGGAAGGCAGGGACCAGCGTCTATTCATCTTGGGATCCCTGTCCACGGGGTACGCTGGGCTCAGAATGAAGTAGAAGGTGGTGGCACACCTCTACGCCTTCCACAAATGTCAACAACCATCGATCAGACACTCTGAGGCACCGAGAGAGGTCACCCCGCCCTGTGGGGGAGACAAACAAGGACAGAGGCAAGGAGAAAACATGATAAATGCCAAGACACGGGAGGAAAGCCCAGGAGGCTGGGGTGAGGCAGAGAGGACCCTGAAGGCTTCCTGGAGGAGGTGACAACAGAGCGAGTCAGGTGGAGTGTGCCTCAGGGCAGTGTGCTGGGGGGCAGAACAGAGCCTGAGAGGCATGAGGACTAGGGATGGCTGGGCCAGTGAAAGGCAGGACAGGGCGGTGGCTTCTTCTGGAGCTGGGAACAGGCATTGCCTGGCCACAGGCGTCCCCTGGTGGCAACCTGAAGGAAGGACAAGAAGTGAGTCCCAACCAACAGAGAGCTGACCCTCCAAACACACATAGCTGGGTTGGAATCGCCTAGTTACAGCATAAGTCCCTCGCCTGCAATTCTAATAACCATCCCCTCTGGAGACCCACTGCCACTGTTCACCGGCCCCCAAATGTGTCAGGGCCTGCGGTTCAGTAGTATCTGGGAACCTCGGCCTGGGGCATCCGCCTGGGGAGAGCGTCCTGTGTCCAGGGGGACCCAGCCGTGCCAGCCCAGTCTCAGGCCGGGGCTCCGTCCTGGTTTTCTAAGTGTCCTTCAGTGGACCCCCGTGGCCACCATGTCTGCCCCTCTGGCTGAGCACGGCTCTGCTTGGAGACTCCACGGGTCTGGGGAACTCCAGGATGTTGGCAATTCTAGGGAATCCCTGTCCCCAGACACCATGGCTTGGCCCCGCATGGAGTCAGCCCTGCTCCTGGGGCGGCTCCTTCCTGGTCCTGTCCCTCCCCCACACGCTACCCTGACAGTCCTAGCGTGCTGTTCAAAGCCGCAGGACCGCAGCAGCACCGGCCACACTCAGAAGTTCCGGAAAGCCCAGGTCTGTCATGTGACTGATGCCGTCCACGTGGTGGACGCGCCCCCTGCGTGACACCGGAGTCAGGGCTGCAGCCCTCGCTCCACCTTCCTTGACCGCCACCCTGGACCGACCGCGGGGAGCGAGGCAACGCCACGTAGGCTCTCTCACGGAAACGCGGTGGCTGATCCAGCAGCCAGCGTGGTCTTTGTCCCTCCACTGCCTTTTCACCTGGGGACCCCTTCTGGATTCGGGCAGCTGGACCGGCAGGCATCCAGGCCTCAGGGCGGCAGCGGGAGGAGGCCCTGAGAGCCCCTCGGCTGTGGGGCTGCCGGGGAGGAGCCCTTGCCGCGCCAGGACCTTACGGCCTGAAGGACCCTGAGCAACAGCTGGCGTGGCCCGGAAGGGGCGGACCAAGGAGGGGTTTTCCCTGCTCCAGGCTAGAGGAAGCGTCTCTGGGCCGTGAGGAGACGAGCCACAGGGGTGAGGACCCCACGCCCCCTGCCACGGCCCTCTCTTTCTGCGCTGGCCCGGGGCCGAGCCCAGGCTAGGGGGACGCAGGAACACACGCGAGGTGCTGAGGGCCGCGTCCCAGGCTGAGGGGCTGTGAGAGCGGCGGGACCTGGGGATCACAGCCAGCCCTGCGAGGTGCCCCCGAGCCCTAGTGGCCTGAGCGGGGCCATCGCCAGAAAGAAGCAGCCGCAGCTGTGACTGCGGGAGGGGGGCAGGTGGACCGGTGTCTGAGGGGCGAGGCTGTCTCAGGGCACACAGGTGGGCACACACGACAGTGACCAAGGGACAAACCCTTTCCTCCCCATGGAGACCGAGGTGCTGGGTGCAGCCCTCACCTCCGACAAGCCGGGGGAGGGCACGTCGCTGGGACCTGAATGGACTGAGTATGTTCCCACTGCCACCACGGAACGTGCGGTCTAGTCACGGACGAGGAGCCTTTTCCTCTCCGCTCCCTGCAGCTTGAGCTGGAGCACGGACAGCTGGCACCGCCGGGCGCGCCCCATCCCGCCGCCTTCACTCATCAAGGCTTATCAACCCGCGATGCACCTTGCCCGGGTCACCAGCCGAGGCTCCTGCGGGGCAGAAACTCTGCCTGCTGTGGGGAGGGTGGGTGGAGGCCCGGGGGTTACCTGTCACTCCCGTTCCAGGCGCACTCGAACTTGTCGAAAATGCAGTCGTTCTCATACAGGGAGCACAGCTTGCTGCGAAGGTAGTCGTGGACCTGGCGAACGAAGGGGATGACGTGAGTGCAGGGCGTGCCCTGACTGCCCTGGCCCCTCCACGAGAAGCGTCTCGAAGAGCAGCAAGGGTCTGGATGGTCCCCGACACGGCCCCGCTCGCCCGGAGGAGCCCACAGCACACGACCGACCTCTCGGCTGTAGCCAGAGAGGGGACAGCACCTGCTACCGAAGGAGGCGGAGTTCACTGTGACAAGGGAACACTCACAGCACGGGGGCCAGGACCTCCTGGGGTCCCCATCCTGGCTCCACCCCTCCCCAGCTGAGTGATCTTGGACAAGTGACTTCACCTCTCTGAGCCTGTTTCCTCGCCTCTGAAGCACTGGCAGCGAGCCTGGGCCGCCCTGGGCCTGAGTGCGGGACGGTGCCCGGCGTGAGTCAAGCCCTTGAGGGTAACAACTGTCGCGAACCACGCACACCAGGGCAGCCCTCATCGAGAAAAGGGCACATCACAAAAGAGGGGACTCGCCACCTGTCCACAACGTGAGGCACCGAGGCTCAGAGGGGTTAGGTGACTGTCCCAAGGTCACACAGCTGGTCAGTGGCTGACCAAGACCCTTCCCCAGGATCGCCTGGCACCACAGGAGAGATGAGGACGCCCCAGGACCTGCGTCCCCCTGGCTGCAGCCCGATCCTACAAGCTCTGTACCCAGAGGGCCTCGTGTGCCGCCTCTGCTGGGGCTGCCGGGACCAGTGGGCACAGGCCCTGCCCTCTACGGCACATGAAGCCTGGTTTCCACTCCCAGCGTCGGAGCCTGGGAGGGAGAAAGGCCAATGAACGCAGAGAAAGTGAGGGCCCTGCGATGGGTGATTTCATGTCACCTTGGCTGGGCTGCGGTACCCAGATTCTTGGTCAAACCCTACTCCAGATGTTTCTGTGAAGGTATTTCTTAGATTAGACAAACACTGAAATCAGGAGGCGTGGGCTGGAGCAGACTGCCCTCCACCGTGCGGGTGGGCCTCCCCCGGTCAGTCCAAGGCCTGAGGAGATAAAGACTCACCTGCCTCCCTGGGGAGGGAGTGCGGCCGGTGGGCGGCCTTCGGGCTCGAACTGCAAGTCTCCCCGGGTCCCAGCCTGCCAGCCTGCCCTGCAGGTCTCGGACCTGCCACACCTCCACAACCACGGGAGCCAATTCCTTGAGATCTCTCCCTCCTCTCTCACCTCCCCTCTCCATCCTGGTGGTCTGATTCCATGGAGAGCCCCGGCCAACACAGGCAGTGGGGGATGAAGGAGACGTGGAGTACGGGAAGACCTGGCGGAGGACCACTGCTATCTATTGCAGACGGGGCGGCTGGAGAAGGCCACGCAGCTCCCCCAGGGGGCCTGACCCTGCTCATCCCTCCCCAGCCCCAACGTCCGCTTGGTGAGCCTTGCCTACCCCTCGGCCCTGGCCTGCAGGCAGGCCCCCCACGCTGAGGTTCGCTGTGCTCCTGCCTGTCTGGGACCCTTGTGGGCAAGGCCCAGGATCTAGCACGGCATATGTATAACAGCTAAAACCAAAGTGCTCACATCCTCTTGGCCTGTGTTTTTGTGTGTCCACCTGCTTAGTCCCAGCAGTCTTAGTGATGCACTCATCCAAACCTGGGTGCTGTTCTCTCCAGTGACTAAGCATCTCCTGCCCTCTGGTGGCAGGGTGAGGAAGAGCGTCAGCTCCAGAGAAAGATGTGAGCACCAATCTCAGGTCCACTGCTTGCTAGTTCTGTCACCAAATGCCGTTTGACTCAATTGTCTTCAAATAAAATGGGGTGGGGAGAATACTGACCCCACCTCCAAGGACAGCTGGGAGGCTTAGGTGAGGCAAAGTATGCCAAAGGCTTAGCCCAGTGTAGCCCGTTCAACACCCATCGCCAACTGTCACCCCTGCCTTCCTTAGCCACAGAGGCTGGAAAACTCATTTTCCCATCTGGACCCATTCTAGCCAGTGAGTTGTAGGACGTCTTCTGAGAAGGTTTCTGAGGAAGCTTTTTTGATCCCAGTATAACACTCAACAGACCCAGTGGATGTGGTCTTTTGCATTTCCTCCTATTTCCCACCTGGAATGCAGGTAATGTGCCTGATGTATGGCAGCTGTTTTGCCACCATGAGGTCCCACACATGAAGGTGGAAAACCACCACCCAAGTGCTGGTGGACTGGAACACAAAAGGAACCGCTGGGACACTGATGAGGTCATGGAGCCACTCACCACTTCTGGGCTGCCTCCTCCGGACTCCTCATGATGGGAGGAAAATAGCCCCTATTTGTTAAGTCGGCAAGTAGGACAAACATAGCCCTGCTGTACACAATTCCTACCACATGATAAATCACCAAAATGTTAGTTGTTGTGTTGCTTTCACGTAATTATTATTATTGTCTTAGAACCAATAGGCCAGCTGGGCCAATGCCAAGCACCTGGCTTTGGGCCTCGCCCTCCCGGGCGCTCATCCTCATGCACCTATCGGGTCTTCGCATGTTTACTGGGGCCCTCGAAAGACTGAAGGCTCGCACCCATCCCACGGAACCCCACAGGAAACCCCCACGTGGTCTCAGGCTTCCTGTGCCTTCACTGACAAAGGGACGCGACAGGCTGAGGCCTCAGGGGCATGGAGACAGTCGGCCCTGAGCTGTCGCCCAGAGGGAGCAGAATAGTCACTCGTGCAGGCCTGAGCAAGGGCCATTTTGTTCCTGTCCCAGTCCGGAGACATTTCCAGAGGGGCAGAGGAGGGGCTGATCCCGCCTGGGGTGTACAGTGTGAGCAGGGGCCGCAGGCCCTCAAGTGAACACACGCGGCTGACGAAGGGCTGGCGCCAGCAGCGCCCTTGCGGGCATGTGGCTGCCAGGAGCACACGGACCACGCCTGGCACAGGTCAGGCTTGGCACGCCGGCCTCGGAGCTCTGCACTCATTCCCGAGGGCCTCGGCGGGGAGGGAAGGGACGTGCAGGGACCTGAGTCTGGGCTCTGAATGTGTCGCTGCCTGGCTGAGAGACAGCTCCCCCGCACCCCGACCTCTTAGTGCCCCGCTCTCTCCCCACCAAAAGGGGCTGATGGCTCCCCTCGCGGGGCCGCGCGGAATGGAGGTGGCGAGGTGACGCACGTGGCACCCGGTGAGCCCCTGCTTGGCGATGCCGTGAGGAATCGGCTGGGGTCTCTGGCGGGTGTTTGCCCGCCCACCTCTGCGTGGCCAGGCCCTACTCACCCTTCAACGCCCAGCACAAATGCCGCCTCCTGCCAGAAGCCTCCCTGACCTCCCGGCTAGAGGCGCAACCGGGACCAGCGCTGAAGCGGCCCCGCGGCTCTTCCAGTCCGTGTTTTATGTTAAGGTCACGTGACCTTCATTTTCTACCCCCAACACATCTGGCTGAATCGTAACAGGAAAATAGCAAATAGCACTTTCCAGGAAGGTGCGCCAGGTGTGTCACTGTGTGCCTGATTCGCAAGCTACGCTGAGGATCTAGAAACATAGCTGGCTCCCAGTCCCGCCGCACGCACCGTTCGAGAGTGTCCCTCGGAAGGGCAGTGCCTACCACGCCCGACGGCCCGACGGTGACACTGCGCGCACCGGCTCCTGGGGAGGGCGGCCGCCAGCGCCCGGTGCTCTGTTCCCACGTCCCTCCCCTCCCAGCGCCACCTTGGGCTGCGCGGGGACTGCGGGGACTGCGGGCCTAGCGCCCGGTGTTCAGAGCTCCCTGCAAGGCTGGGCGAGCACCACTGTCTTCTCCCACAGATGGGCGTGTGAAAGGCCCCGCACGGGACCCCGGCACAGGGAAGGGAGACCTGGGGGGGTTTCCCGCCATGGCACCCACCTGGTAGGTCTCTATGGGTCTCGCCTCCATGTTCAGGTCCCAGACCTTGACCGTGAGGTAATCCCGGGTGAGCATGTACCGGCCGCTGTGGCTGAACTTCACGTCCGACACGGAGGAGATGATCTCTGAGAAGAAGGAGCGGTTACTGGGGTCCTCGGGCTCTTCAAAGACTGCAGAGACAGAGAAGCGATGGCCGTCACTGGCTGCTCCCGCCCACGGGGTTGGGACAACAGACGCCCCCGTCCTGCTGCGGGGCTCACACCGTCTGCTCTCACAGACAGCCCTTCTTCCGTCAGACCGGAACGAAGCGCTTGGCAGGCACCAGGCCCACCCCGGCCCTCCAAGGGGCAGAGCCGGCTCGGGAAGGGCTCCTCTGTGGGAGTCTACGGAGCGTATCCGGGTTCCGAGGGGCCCTTCCCGTTATCAGCTCATCTGATCCCCCTGTGAGAACACGCGTTAGTGGCCCCATCTGAGCGCAGACGACGGAAATCCACGCCCAGGCGTCAGGGTGGGAGAAAGAGATTTGAAGCCAGGCCTGTACTCGACATGCTGCCCTCTGGTCACGCTGGATGCCACACTGCAAAGGTGTCCTGACATTCTCGAACGTGCTGGACAACGTCCTCCGCCAGGCTAGGCACTGCCTGTGCCCTGGTTAACGAGTCCCGGGACCCCGGGCCAGCAGGTGTCTCTGTTCACGGTGTCTTGGGCATGCACGGCCAAGCCCTGCTCACAGGCAGGGTGGTTTGGCTGCCACGCGGTTGTTAATAAAACCAAATTTCACCGCCACAGAGTGTCCTGTTTGCCGCCTGCCACCACCTCCTGTTACCTGAGACCAGCTGCTCCACGTGGGACGTGGCTCACCTGGCCCCTGAAGGCAAGTTTGCTGCCCCCCCTGGGCAACTGCAGCCGGGGCCAGAGTGCATGACGAGGGCTCCCCACGCAGCGCCCTGCCCTGCTGCCACCAGCGACCTGGCCTTCCTGAGCTGGGAGGTCTCCATGCAGCAGGACAAGCAGTGCTGTCTTCTGTCTGTCTCGCTAGGGCTGGAGGGGGTGGGGACTAGATCTGGGCCAGGGAGAGACCCGGGGACCCCTGGGAAGAGGATGGGTGGTGGGTTGGCTGCCATTTACCAGCCAATCTGGGAGGACTTAAACATTTGACAACTTGTCCAGTATCCCCTGGAAACAGCTGGGGGCAGCCTGGCCCAGTGGCCTGTTCTGTGTCTTTGGCCTGAAATAGGGAGGCGGAGCTGACTACAGCTCCCCAGGGGCTCCGAGAGCCCCTCCCGCTGGCCCCTCAGTCACGGGGTCTCGTGTCCTGCTCCCCAGGCCTGTCCCAGCCCCAGCCCCTCAGCGGGGACCCATCACCCTGTCATCCCTCCTGCCCAAGGCAGACGCTGTTCCTGGCCACCACCTTTCCAATAAATATTAATTTAACTCTTGTCTAGCTCCCTTCTGCGGGGTAGCTGGAGACACTCCACACCCAACAGATGCTGACATATACCCACGCATTCATTCATTTACTTGCTCCGTTGACCAATCCACTCTGGGCGTCTGCCTACCCTGTCCCAGGTCCTTGGATGACACAGTGACCCCCACAAAGTTGCCACCCCCATGTCACAGAGACAGACAATAAAACTAAGTGACAGACTACACTGCTAGGCAGTGGCAGTGCAGGAAAGAGAGCTGGGGCCAGTGAGGAGACAGAGCGGTGGGGGCAGGTCACTTAGTTGGGCAGGGTGCTGTGGCAGGTGAAGTGTGAGCACAGATCTGCAGTGAGGGAGAGAACAGTGGAGACACCTGCAGAGGAGCACTATGGGCAGCAGGATCAGAATGTGCAAAGGCCCTGCGGCCAGGACAAACTGGAGGCCAGTGTAGGGAGAGACAGGAGTGAGTGAGGGGAAGGGGGATGCCAGGGGCCACCCCATGCAGGGCCTTGCTGGCCACAGAGAGGGGTGAGAATGTCACTGTCAGGCAGGTGGGAGCCACTGAGGAGGTTCTAACACTGGGGGCCAGGGCTACACAGCAGACCTCACCATCCTTATCCCAGGCCACTGGGCATGGGGAGGGGAAGGAAGCTGCTTACCTGGTAAGAAAAAGCTCCTGTGTTTACCTTCATCCTCTGGTGTCCTCAAAAATCGTTGCAGGAAGGAATGAAGCCCCCTCCCTCGTGTCTCTGAAGAGCTCAGGGAGATCTGTAGTCCCCTCTTCCGCCTCCCCACCGCCTCTGCTCAGCAGAGTGCCTTTCAGCCCACACCCTGCCCTGACCCTGCTCCCTGAGCGCAGGCAGAAGGTGGGAGAAGTCCGGTGTATCTCACCAATAGGTCATGTTCTGTTTTGGAGTTAGAATGATTTCAGCCTGGCAGGTGTTTAATTAATGACATGCAAAACCTGCTGTAGACACCTCCCTGTTCAAGGAGGACCCCTGGCCCAGCCCTCAGTGTGCCCCCCGTTTCTGAGTCCTGCCTCCTGAGCTGACTGTCCCTGCACCTTGCACTGGGACACGCTCCCTGGTGGCCCGTGCTTGCTTCTTCCCGCAGGGGCGAGGCAAAGGCAGCCCAGGAAGAAACTGGCACCACGAGGAGGGAGGGTGAGGGCGATGGAAGAGGAAGAGGGGCTGGGTGGCTGCAGCTGCCAAGGTCTGAGTCCCCGAGCCCTCAGCTATGTGGCCTCGAGGCCTCCTCATCTCCACAAAAGGAGCCAAGGGTGCTCCCTCCAGGCAGGGGACGGCGGCGGGGGCTGCAGCACAGCCAGGCACCACCCGGGACCTCAGACACTGCAGAGCCGCAGGCAGAAGGGACCCAGTGTGGGTAAGCCTGGCGCACGGTAAGTTCACAAATCCACGGTGCTGTCTTCCCTCCCTCCCTCTCCGACATCCCGTGACTCAGCGCGGTGGAGGGGGACACAGGGACACAGGGCACTGCCCCCTCAGCAACGGGAGCCACAGAAGGGCTGGGAACAGGGGAGGGAATGGCCCCAGGGAGTCTCTGCAAGACTTGCCTCCTAAGGCAGCCAGGAAACTGGATGGGCGGGTAGTAAAATCTCCTGAGGAGTCACCTTTGGCCCCTAAAACATCTGAATTCTGATTGGTCAATTCACACGAGACTGTTTTGCGCCCTGACAATAATAATTAAATTGGCACCATTGTTTCTGCCGGTGTATATTTGTAGTTTGTCTTTGTTAAGCCAAAAAAGATCAATGACATTCTTTTCTCTCAAATGCCTGGAATAAAGGGAAGAAGAAGTTCAGTGCTTGATTTTTTCCGTAAACTAACACCAGCGAGACCTGTGTCGTCTGTGAGTGAGCGCGGGGCGCAGACCCGATATCCGGAGGAGAGTTTGAGGGAAGAGGGGTCCGGGCGAGAGTGAAACCTCAGCAGGGACCGATGGCGGCCCCGCCACACCTGCCCTGTGAGAGGCGGGCCCCTCTCCAGCCAGAGTTGGCATTTCTGCCGCTAGGGGTCAGAACAGGAGCCCTGTCATAAAACACGCTGACTGGGGGTGGCCTTGCTGCCTCCTGGCCAGACTCCCCCAGACCTCGAGGGCTGGCCCAAGCTCCCAGTGCGCCTTGTGGGGTGAGGTGGGCGGATGGGGGCCAGGATCGCAGAAGTGCAACCGCCCCGCACTGGGTGTCACAGAGCAGAGTGACTAGCGGAGCCTCCCGCCAGCCCGGAGGAGGAGGACACCGCGAGGTCAAAGGCGAGAGGATAACCTGATCGGCAGCTGAAACGGAAAAGCGAAAGGGCACTGGCCCGTTACAGCCCAGTTCTGGCTGTGCTCGGCACTTCCGATGGTTTTTAAGGACAAAAGGACCAGAACTACAAAAGATAAATGGAAAGAGATATTAATAAGCCCGAAAAAGCTCTTACTTTTCTTTTTAAACATTTCTATGAAATTTTTGAAACAGTACATTTTTTTCAGAAGACAGTGGGATCTGCCCCCCCACACCCACAGCTTCGCCCAGAGCCCTCGCGAGTGCTAAGGGGACTCCCTTCTAACTGACGAGTCGCTAAGGACCTTTCATGGTAATTACTGCTGCCAAGAGTTTAAAGAAACGTGTCTCAGAGCCCCTGTCTCCCCCTGCCCTAGTTATTTAAAAGTGGGAGGGCTCTGAATCAGCAGAAATCCGATCCTGTTTCTTCCTAACGATTTCGCATAATTAAGGTTCTCGTGGCTCAAGTGGTTCCCTGACAACCACGTTCTCCTCCTCCCCAGGTGTCTCACGGTGGAGGGGACCCGGGGAGCCAGCCAAGGCGTGTGGTGGCTCTGAAGGTCTATGCATCAAAGGAAACCAAAGGTGAAGCCTGGCGACTGGTGCCCACCTTCCCTCCAGCCTTGCACACAGCTCCGGGGCCTCCTTCTCCTGCGAGAGCCCTCTGCGTCTCCCCATGCCCATGGGATCAAAGTTTAAGCTCCTACTTGCAGCTGACCAGCTCCTTCCTAGTTGGGTCCCAACCAGCCTGCTGCTGGGGCCTCACATCGCAACCCACCGCGGCCCACCCGGCCCATCTTCGCCAGGGCCCCGGCCAGGCCCCGGGGCGCAGCGTTCATCTAAGGCGCTCAGTGAGCATCTCCTGCAGTGCTATACCCCAGGCATCTCGCTCAGCTTCCCCGAGCCCCTGCCTCACCGCAGCAGAGTGGAGCAGAGCAGACATGCTGTGTGACCCCAGGAGAGCCCCTGAACCTCTGTGAGCCCAAGTCCCCTCCCTCATCTGGAGAACAAAAATGATGGGACCTCCAGAGATAATACCTGCAGACACCCAGCCCAGCGCGGGACTCGGAGTAGCTGCTCAATTAAACCGTGTAGGTGTTTCTAGTTATTTTTTCATAACATTTTCTCTTCCTGAAGTTCCCTTTCCATTTCTAGCCCATCTTTCCTACTAACTCCTATATGTCCTTCAGAACCCCAACTTACACACCCTGTTCTCTGTGCGTATCACTCAGATGCTCTCCAAATAAATCAAATGTTCACATTTGCTGCCTGCGAGCCCCTGGACAACCTCTTCTGAGGCAGTGGCTGAGAGGCACGGTCACCTCATGGGGCTGTGAGCTCCCTTAGGCAGGAATCCTGCCTTGGTCATTCGTCATCCCGGCATCCCTGCGGATAGAACCTTCTGGTGCTGCCTGCTGTCTCCCCTCCGTCCTTTCCTGACATCAGTTTCCAGGCCCGGCGG